CCCAATGCAGCCATTTGGGGAGTGGGAAGCCATTTGGGGAGTGAACCAGTGGATGGAAGACCTCTCTGTCTCTACTTCTCTCTGTAACTCGTTCAAATAAATATTTTAAAAATTGATTAAAAAGAAAAGGAAAAAAAGTGAGAAAACTTCTGAGAATATTGGTTGAATATCTAATTCTGTAGCGAGCATAAGTACCATCTGAGTAGTAGTGGATGACTCTGAAATTAAGATCCATTTACAATTTTAGAAATAATTATATGATAACACAGAGCTGTCAGTACTTATAAAATGCCTTGTTATTTAGTTGCCATAACATCATTCAAGAATGCTGTAGCCTTGATACATTGGCCAGACTTTAAGTGCAAGAGGGGAAAAAAAATCTTACAGTAATTACATGAATTATTTCCTGTGTTAATTCCTCAAAAGGATGTGCTGCACTCAGTGGCAGTCCGCTCCACCAGGCTTCATACAAAGTAATTTATTTGAAAACCACTCACAGGGAATGGGCTGTGGGGCACCATTCTAATAATGGGATGCATAATTTGTGCCACCGCATGCATCTATCATTTCATTGAGCACATGATTATGAAGTCAACTTTTGACAGAACTTCTACCACAACAAGAGAAGTGGGTACAGGCATGGAGTCTGTCTGCTCCAGCTTTCAGCACATGGTTCGACTTTATTGACATTTTCCCCACGTTAATAATGTCAGCATGTTTCTGATTTTTTTCACTGTTGGCACTCCACAGACATTCAAGCTGGTCGTCAGACCTTTGAGTTAATAAGCAAAGACCCTACAATTAAAATTTCTTTAGCATGTTTCCTTGGTTTGACATTTCACTGTCTTGGGCAAGTATGTGCTAATCTGTATGCTATACTACCTTTTATTATACTTAGAGGATGCAGTTTTTTAAAATGATATAATGCTAAAAATAGAACATAGTTGAAGTATTGAGTCATAATTAAAATATAAAATCATCCACCTCTCTTTAAATTCTGTTTATAAAGGACAGGGTGAGAATGGAACTGTGAATGCCCTGTTAGTTAATACAATAACTATTTGTGTCTGTTTCTTTCCCATCAACTCTTTCAGCAAAATGTAATGATCATGTTTGGCTGCATTTGCATTCCTCTCTTCAATTCTTAGATTCACATGAAACTAATGGACATTCCCACTCTTCATTAAAGAGACAGTGGGAGGAGGGGAGACTGCTTAGCCACCTTGACAAAGCCCATTTCTATTTGAGCTTCGAAACCCTTACTTGAATTCTAAATCATGGATATTTCTTCATGGCACCCAGTTTGTTTATTTTTTGTTCCAAATGTGATTTGGAAGTCATTAGTGGCAATGGAATGATTTCCAAAGGTGGACAGGAAAGGGTGGAAGAGCAGAAACATAGGGCCTGCTGATCTAGCAGCCAAATAACTGACCCATGAGTAATTAAAAGTTGGCTGAGGTTGTGGAAACAAGACTGCCCCTCATGTGATGGCAGCTTCGAGTCTCCTTTGTAGTTTTTGGATGTGAGGCAATGAGCCAAATGTTCTGTCTAAACTGTTTGGGAACTGCTTTTAAGTTCAGCACTCTTGGAGAGGTATTATGTGACAAGTTATTGGTTCAGTGCCCTCAAATGGCTCAGTGGCCCCAAAGAATTAGTGTGTAACATAGCACTGTGGAACCTAATCAAGGAAGTGGTACTAAACTGACTTTCTACCTCCATCCATTTCCAATTCAACCTCTCTGGCAGCAAGGACAGTTTGAAAAAGCTCCTCTTCCTCTAACTTTGGGTCGCCTTTCTGCCCAACACATGCAAGTTCTGGTCAAGTAAAGACTCCATAGATATAAGTCAACTATACAATGACCCAGCAAGTTCTTGGCCAAGTCCAGTTTTCAGCTGTAAACTTGTGAAAAAAGACCTAATTTGGTGTGCAATGGATTGTAGGGTATTGATAAAATGCACTACCCTTACTCTATTGAGGATCAGTCATAGTGGGAGAACATTCTTGTAAGGAACCACCATTATCATCCCTGCCATTGTGTAGGAGAGCTACAAGATCGGATGTGATCCTCATTGAGGGAGGAATCTGCTTGCCTGTATGCAAAGCGTTAATCTTTAAGAATAGCATATGTTCTAAAAAGAGAGAGAACAGGCTTTCACATCCAGATATGGTCTGAAAATCACCACCTCTCATTAACCCGGTTATGGAAGTTAACAGAACATGTCGCTCCCCCTCTTCGTGGAGGAACGACACTAAGCCCTGCCTAGGCTTCATATCCGAGTCACGGCACCATTATGTCGCTCCCCGTCTTCGTGGAGGAACGACACTGGACCCTGCGCTGTTCTTTTGTCTGCTCGGCCCTCCCCGGGTTTGCTGCTGGTTCTTCCCGGGTTGGCTACCGTCCCTTCCACCTCCGTGGAAGGGCGGTTCCCCCTGCCACTTTCCCCACTTCCGCGGGGGAGCGGCACACCGCCGGCCGGCTCTCTGGGGGCTGCACAGGTGTTCCCTCAGATGTTCCCCTTAGTCATTCCCCTTAGATGTTCCTGGTGCATGCCGTCTCTCTCCTCCTTTATAGTCCTCCTCCGCCAATCCCAACTCGGCTGCCCACACGCCGAGTACACTGCTCTCCTCCAATCAGGAGCAAGTCCTACAGTTTATTGGTTGAACTGGAGGCAGCTGTGTAGAAGCTGTTTTCTCCTCTCCCAGCGCCATATTGTGGGAGAGCAGATGCACAGAATAAGTCTTAATTCCAGTAACTTAGTCCAGTCCGGGTTGCTCCCCACAGAACACATTTGCATATTCCAGCAATCTAAGTTGTCCTCCAGTAAAGGGATCCTTCTCAATTAGTTTGACTATGGGACACTCCGAGCGTGCTGCTTATACTTTTCATTTTTCCTTCTTTTAAAGGTTCAACAGGTAGCAGGTGATTTTCCTTTTATTACTTTTCTCTTGGGAATACTGTTACTCATCAGCCATTTACCTATACAGTCCAAAATCATGCTACCAAACCTGTCAGCTTTAGAACCCAGTTAGCATTTTTGAGGAATTTTTTTAAGATGTATTTATTTGAAAGGTAGAGTAATGAGAGCAGGGGGAGGGAGAAAGAGAGAGGAAGGGAGGAGAGGGAGAGGGAGAGGGAGAGGAGAAAGATGTCTTCCTACTCAGAACTCCATGTGGATCTCCCCTGTGGGTGTCAGGGGCCCATATATTTGGCCATCTTCTGCTGCCTTCCCAGGTGGGGAGCTGGATGAGAAGCAAAGCAGCCAGGACGGCAAGCAGCACTCTAATATAGAATGCCAGGGTCAAAAGTGGTGGCTTAACCTGCTGCGCCCCAATGCTGGCCCCTAGAGGAATCTTCAAAAACATAGATAAGACATATTTTAAAATAAATTGGAGTTTTAATGTATTAAGTCATAGGGATTAAACTGCTTATTTTTGGTTTCAGAAGGGCACATTTTCTCCCATTGGGAGATCTACATGGGTCAGATTATAACCAGCCATTTGCTTGATGAAGATGAAATTAAAGCAAGCCATGATTGCATGCCCTCTGTAGACAGCAACATGCAATCGCCATGACCTTCACATTTGTCTCCATGGAAGGACGAATCTATTCCAGTAACTGATGTGGTTGCTCCTAAGACAAGGCTGGAGATAATTCTCCTTCTCCATTTGCCTCGCTAATGGTCAATTTCTTACTCTTTTATTGTTTAATAAAATAATAGATTCCCGTGATTTTTCTTGAAAAGTACTAAAACAATCTGTCCCTTGCCCCATCTTTCACTTTCCACCATATAGTATTCATTTTTACAGAAAATGTCTTCTGCATCTTTTGCACATTTCCTCATGTAGTTGAATCTACATTTTATACCCCTTTAAATGATATGCCTTTTTTTACATGTACTCCTTTTATATGTTATCTATTAACACCCCTTTATTCTTGGTAAAGACTCATATTTTGTAGCTCTCTGGTTTTTATCTTGCTATGTCAAGAGGCAGCCATTTCATTTAGGGATTTAGGAACTCAGAAAATCGCTGGAAGAGTGGAATCTCAGCTGGGATTCAAGATGTGACTCCCTGAACTGGATTAGATTACTGAGCAGGGTCTTGTTACTGAGGTGTAATTTACATACAATTCACTTTTTTATGTGAATTAGTCAATGGGTTTTAACAAATCTATATAGCCATCTAGCCACACACTATTACTTACAAGATATAAAGCAGTTGCATTACTCACAAAAATTCCCTCATGCCTCTTCTCTCCCATTCCTAGCCCCTGGCAACTGTTGATCTATTTCTTTACTTAGAATTTTGCCATTTTTAGAATTTGGTATAAAACATAGTCTTGTTACTGTCTTCTTTCACTTAGCATAATCTTTTTGGAATTTACTGCTATTGTTGTATGAATTAGTAGTTCATCTGTTTTTATTGCTGGATAGTATCTCATTCTGTGATTATGCCATAAGGGGTTAACTCATTTGCCAGTTGATGGACATAGAGCTGTTTAGCTTTTTTGATGATAGCAAATATTTATGTGGAGTTCTGTGTGTGGGTATATGTCTTCATTTCTCTTGAGTAACTATTTCTAGGAGAATCGTTGAGTTTTATGGAAAATGTGTATTTAACTTTTTGGGAACCATTGAACAGTTTTCCAGAGATCTTATACCATTTTGCATCTCCATCAGCAATGTAAAAGAGTTTCAGTTGTTCCACATCTCCAACAACTAGTATTCTCAGTCTTGTGCAGACATTCTTCGCCTGGTTTCCATGCTGCCCAAATGATTATCCTTTGCAGCTTTACTATTGGGTGGCCGTAGGTTGTTGTCCAGTGGTGGAATACTGGTCAATATATGGATCTGGTAATTGGTGATGTCCGGGATGAAGACTAGCTTCATTGTGCAGCTAAACATGCTAATAGATATAAAAAAAGTCATTGACCTTGATTTAGCTGGACAGGCACTGGATTTCAATAACATATGCAACAATTTTTATGGTTTTCTTTCAGACTATTTGATCATTCCATGGAAGGATTTAAAAACTGGGAATTCATGACCATTCATTGCTGGGGAGAACGAGCTGCAGGTGACTGGATTCTTGAAGTTTATGATACTCCTTCTCAGCTGAGGAACTTCAAGACTCCAGGTGAGAACTTTCTTCCTATATCATCTTACTATGTGGGAAAAAATGATGATATGTTTGAGGGTACTTTAAAAAGTTCATGGAAAATGGTGTAAAAGCACGTTTTGGGGGACAGTAATACTGCCTGCTGGTTAAGATGCCCGTGTCCCACAACAGAGTACCTTGGTTCAATGTCCAGCTCTGGCTCCGTACTAGCTTCCTGCTAATGCATACCCTGGGATGCAGCAATAATGGCTCACATAATTGAATACCTGCCACCCACTGGGAATCTAAGATTGAGTTCCTGGCTTCAGACCAACCAAGCCCAGGCTATGCTGGCATTTGGGGATTGAACCAGTAAATGGAAGCTCTCTGTGTCTCTCCTGTATGTCTCAAATAAATAAAATTTTAAATAGTTTCCCAAAAACTATGTTTATTTTGGTGCAAGCACTACTGAAATTCATGCATATTTTTCTCATAATACAAATTTTCCATGTATTTTATGAAAAGTCATATCAAAATAAACTCATACTTTTAATTCTACTTTTCCATGAAGTTTTAAGTATCTTCATATTTTAGCCAGAGTGTTCTACACTCATAAATCAGTATCGTCTTTTTTCCTGTGATGTCTTCTTTGAATTACCTGCACATATTACAGTTCTTAAGATATGAATTTGATGATAGAATCCAGCTAATGACTTATTGCTTTCCTTGCTTGTCTGTTTTCTTCAGCCTTTTGGAGGTTACTGAATGAGGAAGGCATTCTCTTTCCCTAGAAATATCCAGATCAATAAATGTTTATTGAGAAAAAAAATGCCAGCTAGATGTAATAATTTGAGAATAAAAAAATAAAGATGGGCAGGAATTTGGCCTAGCAGTTAAGATGCCATTTAGAACAACCACATCTCACATCAGAGTGCCTGGTTTAGACACCTGACTCTGGGCCCTGATTCCAGTGTCTCGTTAATGTACACCCTGGGAGTCTGCAGAGGATGACTCAAGTAGTTGGGACTTTGCCACCCAGCTCCTGGCTTTGGCACCAGCCCAGCCCAAGCCATTGTCAGCATTTGAGGATTAAGCTCACTCTCTCTGTCTCTGTCTCTCTCATAAATATCAAAATACATTGAAATAAATAAAATGAATTTACAAAGAATAAATATTTTGATCTAAAGATAGGCCAAAAGATGATAGCTGTTGATTGATATTTCAGAATATATACTTGTTTGAGCCATTTTCTATGCTTGCTTTGTCCATTATCAAGCCAGCCTTATCCATTTGCAATGGGTTAAATTGCATGGTCATAATTTCTTCATAAGGCAGGTCTCTTTAGTTACCTTTCTTTTTTTTTTAGTTTCCCCTAAAATTAATTTTCAGTTCAGGCAAGAAATTGAGCTTGACCTGTGCTAGCTAACCTGGTTACCACCAAAGAAAATGAATGATGGCATTCTGCCCTGGGTGAACCTCAGAGCCAAGGAAAAAGGAAACTTTCTTGATAAGTAAAACATGGAAATAATGACATTAACAAAGGTCTTTTCAGGTAGTCTGAGGTTGTGTTGCTGCACACAGCCTATTTCTCTCTTCATATGAGGTTTATTTGAAACAAATCCATGCATGTGCAGTGCAGCACAGGGAGGCTGAGTTACCCGGGCTAAGCACTGCAGAGCTGTAGGAGCTGTTGGCTCAGCCACGTGATCTGCTTGATAACTGCCCAGATTCCCACCCATCCCTCCACACTTTTTCAACGGGTGGACAAAAGTCCTCCTTCTTCATGCTCCACGTAGCCCATCTGCACTAGAACTAGGCCGGAGGGAAATTGTAGGAGTGACATCCAATTCCAGACCAGAACTGATTACAGAATAAATTAGCTGATCTGAGTAGAGGAGGCACATAGCAAAACACAGGGATAAAGCATTTATGTATCAGACATTTTCCTGCCAGTGTGGGAAAGTGACTCTTCCTGAGATGCCCAGTTTTGACAGCCTTCTTTATGTCTTTCCCCTGATTCTGTCATGTGTTTCATCTGTGCTGCCACAGTGCTTTCATAGTCCGAGAGGCACAAACCAGAATGGTGGTCAAGTCACAATGAATCAGGACTAAAATGTTGCTGAAGAGCATCAGTATCTAGTTTACCTCCAGCAGACAGCCTAGATGCAGTGGTCACCAAGGATTTATCTAGAAATCAAATATCAGGCTGGCGCCGCGGCTCACTAAGCTAATCCTCCGCCTAGCGGTGCCAGCACACCGGGTTCTAGTCCCGGTCAGGGCGCCGGATTCTGTCCTGGTTGCCCCTCTTCCAGGCCAGCTCTCTGCTGTGGCCAGGGAGTGCAGTGGAGGATGGCCCAAGTGCTTGGGCCCTACACCCCATGGGAGACCAGGAGAAGTACCTGGCTCCTGCCATCGGATCAGCACGGTGCGCCGGCCGCAGCGCACCAGCCGCTGCGGCCATTGGAGGGTGAACCAATGGCAAAGGAAGACCTTTCTCTCTGTCTCTCTCTCTCACTGTCCACTCTGCCTGTCAAAAAAAAAAAAGGAAAAAAAAAGAAAAAAAAAAAAAAGAAATCAAATTTCACCAAGGCATGGTTGATGTATAAGACATCAGCTCATAGACCATGGTTTCCAGACATCTGCACTTCATAGTCTACTCAGTTCCCAAGCTCTTGTGCCCTGCTTTCCTCCTCTTCTCGGGGCATGCCTGTTGTCTCAGTGAGGGAGATACCCAGGTCATGGCACTTTGAGGCAGTGGCAGCGTGGTGCCTCAGCTGTGCTGCCGTGCCCAAAGTGTAGCTTCCAGTTGTTCCATTGGCAGGAACCACTACAGGGCTCTTACATGCTCAGATATTCCATGTGGCAGTTGCACACCAAGGGAGATGTGGACATATAAGCTACATTATCTGTTAAGAATTTTGAAGACATGAAAGTAAAAGTGACTCTGTAATCAGCAGGCACCAGCAATTCTACTCCCTTGACAAGTGCAGACTGCTCCTAGGGCATACTACTGGTTAGCCAATCATTGTGTACAAGGACCAGGTGCTGTGAATAAAAATCCCTCTGCCCTCAAGGAGTTCAGAATTCTATCCTGAGCTTACTCTGATTACCTGTGTTAAAAGCTGTCTGCAGTATCTAACGTAATCTAGAGTCATTAGTTTCACGGAATTTGTCTCGACTTATGCTACTTAAGTGTTCCCATTTAACTCCAGTCACCTTCAATAGTTTTCAAGATGTCCTTTCTTTTCCAGAAGAGAGACATCCATGTGCTACTGTTGGTGTGAAGTCAGGAGGATGTAACAGAAACAAATGGTCTTTGTGTGTCCTTCATTCAGCCAGTCTGTCCCTTTAGGATTAGCCACACTTTTCAATAAGGACCTTCACTTTTCTGTTTGTTGGTGCATTTGTGTGTGTGCACACATATTTTTCTAGCATTTTCTTAAAATATTATATTTATTTATTTGAGAAGTAGAGTCACAGGTAGAGAGAGGGAGAGACAGAGAGAAAGGTCTTACACCTGTTGGTTCACTCCCCAGATGGCTGCAACGGCTGGAGCTGGGCCAATCGAAAGCCAGGAGCCAGGAGCTTCTTCTGAGTTTCCCATGTGGGTGCAGGGGCCCAAGCACTTGGACCATCTTCCACTGTTTTCCCAGGCCATAACCAGAGAGCTGGATCGGAAGAAGAATAGCCAGGACAGGAACACATGCCCATATGGGATGCTGGTGCCATAGGCAGATGCTTAAGACTTCTGCGCCCCATCACAGGTCCCTGTAGCATTGTTTTTATGGCATGTAGTAGTCGTTTGGTAGGTTTCTCCCTCTCTGATGATGAGCTGTTTCTTCACTAGGCTACTAGAAATTAAGTTGGAGATGTAGAATTTTTCCAGCCTAGTTGAGTGATGGAATCCTCACCAAATATAGAGGTGCCTGGCTCCAACCTGAGTTTCTATTTGTTTATTTCTTCCCATTTGTTTATTATCATATTTATAATAATAATGTTGGGAAGTTATTGTTTCTGCACATTAAAACTATCTGTGGCAGGGGCTGTGTTTGGTGCAGCAGTCACAGTACCACTTGGGATACTTGCAGCCCATTTTGGAATCCTTGGGCTTGAGTCCTGACTCCACTCCTGATTCCAGCTTCTTGTTCATGCACACTTTGGGAGACAGTGATGGCCACTCAAGTAGTTGAGATCCTGCCACCCATGTGGAAGACTCAGATTGAGTTCCACTGTCCAGGTTTTAGCCTGGCCCACTCCTAGCTGTTGCAAGCATCTGGGGAATGAACCAGTAAATAGAAGATTCATTCTCTCTCTCTCTCTCTCTCTCTCTCTCTCTTCCCTCCCGTTCAAATAAATATTCATTTTTAAAAAGCTGAAACTGTATGTGGCAGATTACACTTATAGGTTAGTAAGTATGATGAATTTTTCTCTGTATTTACACAGCTATTTCTTAACAGCATGTTTCAGTATCAGTTGCAAAATCTCCTATAAAATTTAACAAACAGAAAAGGTGGGAGAGAAGAACAAGATGATGGTACAAATACAGCAGGATTTGAAATGAATGATGGCAGAGAGTCTAAGGAAATGAAATGACACAAGTGAAAAAGAGAAATGAGCTGCCCAGTGGGAATACCCCTAGTGGCTTATGGTGTACTTCAGAAATAGCACAAACACAAATAGTCTGTTTTAGGACAGCAGTCTTCAAAACACGAGGGTGAATTTAGATCCTAAATTATTTTCAATAAAATGAGCCATGAACCAGGTGTTAGAGTGACTGACAGATGAGAGGACCTACAATGTCCTTGTATTGTGTGTCCATGGGTACACAGAAGAATGCTGTAGGGACAAAACGGATTCTCCTTTGCTTTACTACCTCAAGGCAGTCATATAGGTCATGAATTTCCACTGGCCATTCACCTCCTCGCAGTATGTGGTGCCTGCCACTTAGAATTCGAGCCTGAAGACCCTGGTTGTGAAATCATGGTCATTATCAAATGAGTCCAGAGGAAAGCTGGCAGAGGGTAAACCACATATAAACCAATCATCCTTTCTTATAAAATATGCCTTGTGGCCGGCGCCGCGGCTCACTAGGCTAATCCTCCGCCTAGCGGCGCCGGCACACCGGGTTCTAGTCCCGGTCGGGGCACCGGGTTCTGTCCCGGTTGCCCCTCTTCCAGGCCAGCTCTCTGCTGTGGCCAGGGAGTGCAGTGGAGGATGGCCCAGGTGCTTGGGCCCTGCACCCTATGGGAGACCAGGAAAAGCACCTGGCTCCTGGCTCCTGCCATCGGATCAGCGCGGTGCGCTGGCCGCAGCGCGCCGGCCGCGGCTGCCATTGGAGGGTGAACCAACGGCAAAAGGAAGACCTTTCTCTCTGTCTCTCTCTCTCACTGTCCACTCTGCCTGTCAAAAAAAAAAAAAAATATGCCTTGTGTTATATGCTCTTGCCCAACTGCAGGCTAATGTATAAGTGTTCTGAACATGTTTAAGCTAGGCAAGGCTGAGCTAGGATATTTGGTAGGTTTTGTGTACTAAATGCATTTTCAATTTATAATATTTTCATTTTACAATAGATTTATTGGGGGTGTAACTACATGTAAGATAGGGAGCATCTACAATTTGAGTAGCAGACAGCATTATGTAATGGTTTAAGCATTCTGGATTTGGATTCAGAATGGATATTTTTTAAAAGATTTTATTTTTTTTAATTTTTTTTATTTGCCAGGCAGAGTTATAGGCATTGAAAGAGAGACAGAGAGAAAGGTCCTCCTTCCGTTGGTTCACTCCCCAAATGGCTGCCACGGCCGGAGCTGTGTCGATCCGAAGCCAGGAGCAGGGTGCTTCCTCCCGGTCTCCCATGTGGGTGCAGGGACCCAAGGACTTGGGCCATTCTCTGCTGCCCTCCCAGGTCGCAGCAGAGAGCTGGCCTGGAAGAGGAGCAACCGACACTAGTACCCGGCACCCCAACCGGGACCCAGGGTGCTGGCGCCGCAGGCGGAGGATTAACCAAGTGAGCCATGGCGCCGGTCGATTTTATTTATTTGAGACATAGAGTTACAGACAGAGAGAGGGAGAGACAGAGAGAAAGGTCTTCCATCTGCTGGTTCACTCCCCAAATGGCCACAACAGCAGGAGCTGAGCCAATCAGAAGCCAAGAGCCAGGAGCTTCTTCCAGGTCTCCCACGTGGGTGCTGAGGCCCAAGAACTTGGGCCATCTTCTACTGCTTTCCCAGGCCATAGAAGAGAGCTGGATCAGAAGAAGAGCAGCCAGGACTCGAACCGGTGCCCATATGGGATGTTGGCACCACAGGTGCAGTTTTAGCCTACTACACCACAGTTCTGGCCTCCAGAATGGATTTTAAGATCAATGTGTCCTCACACTGTCAATTATACTGGCTCAATGTACATGTCAGAAAAAAAAAAAAAAGAGTATATCATAGAATAGAGGTCATCCCCAAATTAGGGTGGTTCAATTTAGGATTTGTTGGCTTTACAGTGATGTCATTCACATCTAGTAGAATCCATGCTACAGATTTTGGTACTTGACTTTCTGGCCTAATGATCCTCCCTTGCAATGCTGGGCAGTGGCAGCCAACATGGTTTCCAGTCAGCCCCAGCAGCACCAGGGGAACAACCTGTGCCATGTTGCCAGCATTGTTTGGATATTGTATTTTGTTTTCACATCCCATTGTGTGCACCAACCACCCATCAATGTGTGTACATGAAATATTCAATGCTTTATTTTAAAGCTCAGGTTCCTAAACTAGAAATGAACAGGAGACAGTATCCTATAATACTTTAAGTGGAATTTGGATCCAAGAATGGATTTTAAAATCAGCCTGTACTCGTACCATCTCTGAGGAAATTATCAACCTCTGTTGCTCACTTTCTTTTTTTAAAAAAAGATTTATTTATTTTACTTGAAAGGCAGAGTAACAGAGATGCAGAGGGAGGGAGAGAGAGAGAGAGAGAGAGAGAGAGAGAGAGAGAGAGGAGGATGTCTTCCATCCGCTGGTTCACTCCCCAAATGGCCACAATGGCTGGAGCTGGGCTGATCTGAAGCCAGAAGCCAGGAGCTTCTTCTGGGTCTCCCACATGGGTCTAGGGACCCAAGGGCTAGGGCCATCTTCCACTGCCTTCCCAGGCCACAGTAGAGAGCCGGATCGCAAGTGGAGCAGCTGGGACTCAAACCAGTGTCCATATTTGTTTCTGGCCCTTTAGGCAGCTGCTATGCCACAGAGACAGCCCCGCTCACTTTCTAATCAGTATAATGGGAATAATATTACCTACCTCAGGGCTTTTATGAACAATAAATAGAATAAAACTTACAAAACATTTGGACCTATGCTTAGCATATAGTAAGTGCATAGAAATTATAGTCATCAATTTGATGGCGATTCAGTAGATAGTAATAATAAGGAAATTGACAGCTGAAACTCATCACTATCTGAGCCAGCCCTGCCTCTTGTCCCCAACCATACCTGGATTCTACATGTTAAGCCAAGGTAGAAGGGGTTATCAGTGAGAAACGGGTTCCTGTGTTTGTACTGGTTTTGTCAATCCATTTCTGGTTTTGGTTGGTTTCTTTTGGCATGAATCTTATCAGGCTGAAGGGCCTGAAGGCAAGTTTCCTTTCTTTTTTTTTACCTTTTTGCATGGCACTTTAATTTTATGAAGCTGAGGAATCAGTGAATATATAAGGACTGCACTAAAGCAAGATGCTTCTTGTCAGCTGCCCAAGGACATCCTTGACTAGAACCTGCTCCTTGACAGCACTGCTTTATAGAACCTTCTGCATTATTGGAGGTATTCTGCACTGGTGCTGTTGAGCACTTGAAATGTGGTTAGTGTCAGCAGGAACTGAATTTTAAAATATTTTAAAATTTTTATATATTAAGAGAGACAAAGACAGAGACAAAGAGATATCTTCCATCCTCTGGTTCATTCCCCAAATGCCTGCAGCAGCCAGGGATGGGCCAGGACAAAGTCAGGAGCCTGGAACTCAATCTAGGTCTCCTCTGTGGGCAGAAGAGATCCAAGTACTTGAGCCATCATCTGCTGCTCTGAGGGTCTGCATTAAGCAGAACTGGAATTGGAAGAGGAGCTAGAACTTGAACTCGGGCAATCTGATATAGGATGTGGGTGCTCCAAGTGGTGACTTCTCTTTTTCATTTATTTAACTATTTATGTGTTTGAAAAGCAGAGTTACTGAGAGAGAGGGATCTTCCATCCACTGGCTTGCTCCCTAGAGGGCTGCAACAGCTCGGGCAGGGCCATGCTGAAGCCAGGAGACCAGAACTCCATCCAGATCTCCCACTTGGGTGGCCAGGGTCCAAGCCTTTAAACCATCTTCTGCTGCTTTCCCAGGCACATTAACTGAGAGCTGGCTCAAGAGAAGAGCAGCAGGGAAACAAACCAGTAACCTGCTGTGCCACAATGCCGCCCCCTTCGAGTGGTGTCTTAAACAACTGCACCTATATGCCTGCCCCAAAGTTTTAAATTTTAGTTCATTTAAATGTAGATAGCTAAATGTGTCTAGTGGTCACTGTTTTGGACAACACAGGTCTTAGGATAGTATAAATAGTGATGTATTCTACACTCGATCTTAGCCAAAAGGCCCAGAAGCGATGGGATGTATTCTTAATATCAAATGACTGATTCAGAAATTAGGTGAAACGAAGGGTAGTTTTTGTCTATTTATTAATGAGGCAAATAATGCCAAAATTTTTTAAAGGCTTAAGTAACACTTTTATACTTAGGAAAACTAAACATTTGGTAAAATTCTGGGATTCTGTTGAGCGTTCAGAATTTGAAATTCAGCCTCTTCTCCAGCAATCTGAAGTATGTTCGTTTCCTAGTCTTCGTACACATACTGATTGAATCAAGGCTTAGCCTGTAGTGGCCGCTCAGTAAATATGCTGTGTGAATTATTAAATATCTTATTCGGGGAAAAAGGTGAAAAATGTACATTTCTAGCCCCATTTCCGATGTAATAATTCACCTCAAACTGCTTGCCATCATTCTTCAACTGTTGCTTTTTCTTTAGTGAAAAGGACTAAAAGATATGAAGCTAGAGTGTAGATATTTGACTTCAATATTTGGTGACTTTATGGTATTATTATTTCTCAAGGTAAATTGAAAGAGTGGTCTTTGGTCCTCTATGGCACCTCCGTACAGCCGTACTCACCCACTAATGAATTTCCTAAAGTTGAACGTTCCCGCTACAGCCGAGTGGAAGACCCCACAGATGACTACGGTACGGAGGACTATGCAGGTGAGCCAGCTGGCAAGGGGCTCACAGCCAAGGAGGGATAACTTATACATCCCCCACCACGTGGGATAATAGAATATTATAATATGCTCTCCATGGTTTATATATTTCCTTCCATCTCATTTTCTGTCCCCTCTAAATATTTGCATGTGTATGTGTTCATGTATTTAAATATCCATATGTGCTGTCTGAAAACCTCATAGTCCATAGGATGATTGCTCTATGTGATGTATTTAGTCCATAACCTGGTATGTGTAATTTGTCTATAGATCTTTACACCATTTGAAACAGTGTTGTTGTATATTAATCTGTCTACAAATACAAGCATCCTCAATGGTTCTTTAGAATGGAGTTCCATTTTAATATTTAATGCATCAATGGGGATAATCAGTTTGAGGGCTTGGAAACGTTTGGTCCCATTATCATCCTGACAAGATTTACCAGTCTACACTGAGATCAGTTCTGTGTGTGCTGAACTCATTCTTACCAGCACTGACTGAAAGAACAAAAAACAAAAACAGGGACAGAAACAGCTCATTTTTTTATTTTTATAGCTTTGTAGGTAGTTCTATGAATTAGATGTCACTGTATCTTACCATTTTTGTCTATTCAAGGTGGCAGTCATTCTCTTACCAATTTTTAGGAACTCTAATGTTATTGTCCCTCATATTGTCTCTATTTGCTGAAAACATAATCTCAGTTACCACCTGCTTCCCAAATAAAACTTTTGTTTTATGTTGCTCTGACAAAAAAAAAAAAACAATAATTATTGGAGAATGGGATTTACAATTTCAAATGTAGCATTTATGGTCTTTTGCAGAAGTTCAATCCTTTAATATCAAAGAATTTTATGCACTTTTTGATAATCTTATTTTTTACATCTAGTCAGTAATTCACCTGGAACCTGTTTTGGTTTATAATATATATATCATATAAATCATATATATGTACATATGAAATACATGAATTTATTTACCTTAAAAAATTTTAAAGGAGCTAGCACTGTGGCATAGTGGGATAAGCCTCTGGCTGCAGTGCCAGCATCCCTTATGGGCACTGGTTTGTGTTCTGGCTGCTCGTCTTCTAATACAGCTCTCTGCTTATGGCCTGGGAAAGCAGTAGAGGATAGTCCAAATGCTTGGGCTCCTGGCTCCTCGCTTCAGATCGCCACAGCTCCGGCCATTTGCAGAGTAAAGCTGCAGGTGAAAGACCTTTCTCTCTGTCTCTCCCTCCTGTCTGTAACTCTAACTCTCAAATCAACCAATCAATACTCTTTAAAAAATCTTTTTAAATAAGTAAATAAATTTTTAGAAGTTTTTTTGGAAGCTATATTTTACTTGTAATCTCAGAATTGTTTTTATAATAAAATTTTCCACCTAAAACATAGACCACATCCTACTTTACTGTGATCTTTTAATTTTATGTAGTTTGCTTCTTGTGTTATATCTAAGTATTTTGAGTATTGTTGTTCTTGCAGTGGAAAATATTCCATGCTTTCTGTCTGGAAGACTCTCTCACTAATTTATGTTTTAGAGTCGATTTTCTAGGGTGATATAGCCATATCAACTGCAATTTTTTGTCATACTATTTATATTTATGATTCTTGTCTTACTCTGTCATGTCTAGGAGCATTCAGTTCTGAGATATTGCATACAACACTTAATCGATAAAGCTTCTCCCAATAAAGAATTACTTATAAATGGATGTTTAATGTACCTTGAGACTCAAAATATTTTTCCTGCAGTTTTTAGATTTTGCTCCCTTTTTTTAAAGATTTATTTATTCACTTTGAAAGTCAGACTTAGAGAGAGAGAGAGAGAGAGAGAGAGAGAGAAATCTTTTATCCACTGGTTCACTCCCCACATGGCCATAATGACCAGGACTGAGCCAAAGCCGGGAGCCAGGAGCTTCATCCAGGCATCCCTTGTGGGTAGCAGGGGCCCAAGCACTTGAGCCATCTTTCACTGCTTCCCCAGGCACACTAGCAAGGAGCTGAATCAGAAATGGAGCAGCTGGACTCAAACTGGAGCCCATTGAGGTGCTGGCCTCTCAGGTGATGACTTAACTCGCGACGCCAGAACACCGGCCCCTAAATTTATAAAATGGTAAAAGTGCTTCGTTAATCACCTTTACTGAGTACCTTAAATATGAATATAGTTTCCTTTATTCTAAAGTGTCCCAAAATTAATAACACACTTGACCAATTGAGCTAAACAAAGCTAGATTGTGTTAAATTATGTCTTCCTTTCTTTTGAGCTTGTAATGATACTGTTTATGTTATAACTCCCAAGCCATTTTTTCTTCCCTGATAGGAGACAGTGTATCCAAAAACATAAATGGAGCATAATAGTAACCTTTTGTTAATGTTAAGATCCTGAACAAACAGCTATACATCTTTGTGGTTTTTCCAATTACATCCCTAAAACATTGACATTGGCACTTGTAAGAGAAAAAAGACAATTATTTCACCATTATCCTGCAACCTACTATGCTAAACTGCATCTGGGACAGTTTAAAATTATAATAGAAACTGTATGGCATATGAACCTACCATGCAGATCCCTTTGGCAAATATCAAGAATAAATGTTTCTTGGTTTTTATTTTTTTCATTCCAAAAATCACCTGGTGAAAATTTAGGGCCACCCATGAGTACTTTCCTTTGGAGCTGTGATTTTCGTCTTCCTTTAGAAGGCAGCCTGACAAGCACAGATGGCATTATCATAACCAGATCCCCATATTGTTTCATCAATTACGCGAAATTGTGAGACCCCCAGCCAGCTGAACTTCAGCCCTCACACAGCAGTGGTGCCATTCTTGTGGTGTTCAATGGTAGACAGCTGAAATACCCCCAAGTTATGCTAGCTATAGAATTTAATTTAGAAATTAATCTAAGATTTCAGCAAAAATGCCCTTAAAAATGACTCTTAGAATTAATCAGCATTTTGAAATGACTCATTTACATTCAGATGGAGAAGTCATTTCTAGGACATGATGTGCTGCCTGTAAGCAGGAGACTTGGACTGGGTATCAGAACATATGTCAATCTTAACTCCCCTTGCCTTATGATACTGAACAAGCCAGTGTATCTCTTGGAAAATCAGGTTTTTCGTCAGTAAAATGAGAGTATTTTTCGACAAATTTTTTCTAAGCCATTCCATCCCAGTTCTAATTATTTATATTTTTATGAGTCAGTAATTATAAAACGTACTGCCGAACAGACATTTGGCCAAGTACCCACACCCCACATTGGAGTGCCTGGGTTCAATTCCTGGTTCTGGCTCCTGATTCCAGCTTCCTGCTAATGTATACTCTGGAATGCAGTGGTGATGGCTCAAGGTGCCACTCATGCTGGAGACCTGGACTGAGTTCCTGGATCCTGACTTCAGCTCCTTGGTTGTTGTGAGCATTTGGAAAGTAAACCAGCAGATGGGAGCCACTCCCCCAAACCTATAAGTAAACAAATAATAGTAAAACAAAGCGCCATCATGATTAAAAGAAATCAAGGTTCAACGATAATTTCTTTTGATTAAGTAGGATTCAAAACATTTCTGTTACCCTTGACCTACTGCTTGTATATTTCATGCAATATATTTATTGCTCGTTAAAAACATATGAATTTTCAGTGAGAAAGAGCTTGAGATTATGAGACCAGAAGTCTTAAAATATGGAGAAAAAAGAAAAAGTGAATTTAAAACTTCAGTAACTATCCTATACCATTGGAAATCTTGTTAGCAATCACACAATAGCTTCATCTTGCTGGCATTTTATTTTTTTTCTTACTGTACATCTCTCTAGCTCTGTACCAAAGAATATGTAATAGAGGATATTAGCAGCCTTCATCCCAGGTCTGGAATTCTTTAAGCTTGCTCGCATTTTTTCAACTTATACGTCACTTTCTTTTGTTGAGCTGCCCATTGGCCTTTGGGTAGGATGCAATTTTAAATCTATTATCTGTGCCTGAAGTACCTGCTTTGTGATCCAAGACTGGATGCTGATAAGCTTGTGCCAGATGCCATAATGATGTTTCTTGCTGGCTACAGTATTTCAGAGGTATTCAGTGGCTTTAATGACCTTGGACAAGACAGGAAGTCTGGTCTAGATATTAAATAACCTTTCTTTTATTTTTTGTCAGAAGCTTAACTTCTCATTTTTCTATAAATCCTACATTTTTGTTGTTATGCATACTTAATTGTAGTTGATTTTTCCAGTTTTACAGTAGTATTGTTCATTTCAATTCTGAAATATATGTTATCTCCCACAAGGCAGCCATATGTGCCTTGAAGACCAGGCTAAGAGTGGGATTTACATTCTTGATACTTAAGCAATTGAGGTTGTTTTTTAATTCTTTAAAATTTTATTTAAGTTATACAAGTTTTATGTATTTCATTTATACAGATTTAGAAACACAGTGATACTTCCCTTATAACCCCCCTCCTGCCCACACGCCAACCCTTCTTTTCCTTCTCCCTCTCACATTCCCACTCTTAATTTTTACAAAGATCTGTTTTCAGTTTACTTAATGATCATATATTTAACCCTTGTCTAAGTAAAAGAGTTCAACACATAGTGTGAAGGAAAAACAAAACAAAACAAAACAAAAACACTGTTCCTCAACGGAAGAGACAAGGCCTGTAAACAGTCTTCCTATCTGCAAATGTCCATTTCATTCCAATACATTATATTTCAGATACTCTTATTAGTTACCTCAGATGAGGAGAAACCCTATGCTTATCTGTCTTTTTTGGGAGTGGCTTATTTCACTAATTATAATGGTTTCCAGTTGTATCCATCTTGTTGCAAAAGACAGAATTTCATTTTTTTAACAGCCTAGTAGTCCTCCATAGTGTATATACACCATAATGTCTTTTAAAAAAAATCTCACTAGTTTGTCTCTGGGCTCCCAGCCACACTGACCACTATTCCTTTAACTACACACACACACACACACACACACACACACACACACAAAAACCAACTCATATGTAGCATCTTCAAAAAAGTTCATGGGAAGTGTAGATAATGGAAAAAAAATACAATGCATGGATTTCAAATTATTTTTACACCAAAATAAATTGATCTTTAACTCTATTTTCCATGAGACTTTTGAAATACCCTCAGATTTTATAAAAGATTCAAGGTAAAATTGACCTGCTATAAAATTCTTTTTTCTAAGTGTTGTTCTAATCTCTTCTGGAAAGGCCCCTGCGATGCTGAGTGCAGTGAGGTTGGCTGTGACGGGCCGGGACCAGACCACTGCAATGACTGTTTGCACTACTACTATAAGCTGAAAAACAACACCAGGTAAGAGAGAATCCTTACAGCCCCAAGAGTCCCTGCAGGGCCAACACCACGGAGTGGACTCCAATGCCCAGTGTCTTCCCATGCTCTCCCACTAGGCCCTAAACATAGGATACATGGTGCTGTGAAGACCCACTGCCTGTCTGTGTCATTCACAATGGTGAAAACCACTGAGCTGCAAAACACAAAATGTACATGTAAGCTTTGAACCTGCCAATGTCTTTTCTGTCATTTGGAAGGACTTTGGGTTGGGACCCGCTAAACACGTACCTCAGCCTCCCTTCCAGCTCTTTTGATTTCAGTTGACAAGGAAAAATTACACTTATGGTACAGAACATGATGTTTTGACATATGCATACATTGTAGAATGACTCAGTCAAGCTATTTAATATATACATTCCTTTACATAATTTTTAATTGTGTTGAGAATACTGAAAACCTCTCTTAGTATACAATAGATTATTATTAGCACTAGTGCTCATCATAGACAATAGATCTCTTGAATTTATTCCTCCTTTCTAAGTGGTTTGTGTCCTTTCCAGCCCACTGATATGGTATGCCAGCTGCCTTTGCCCCTGATGGAGATGCCAGAGCACACAACCTGGAGCCATTCCATAATCCCAATGTGTGAGACAGCTGTTCCCTGCCCCTTCTCTTCTCTGCTGTAGACATTGTAATACCTTGTACCTCTGAGCCCCTACCTTCAGCCTAGAAGTCAGCCGATGTTTTCATGGGGCTGGACTGTAGAACAATGGGTGCTGCAGCCAGAGCCCAGCCTCTCCCACCCGGAGTCTCTCATACCTCGCCCGCCTTCTCCCTCCTCTTTCAGCAAAACTCACTCTTGCAGGGCCTCCATGCTCGTCACCGAAACAGACCTAGACATCTTCAATTCTGGTTGTAATTCCACGCTGGAGTATAAATTCCCTAAGGGAAAGGTCCTTGGCTATCTCAGTACCTCTCTCCTGCACTCTGCAAAATGCCTGACATTTGATTAGTTCTCAGTAAATATTTGTTGAATGGATTAATGAAGCAAGCCTTGTCCTTAAGTTATGGGCAAATAAGGAAGTTGTTAAAAAAGATTTCTCACAAGAAACATAAATTTAAATATATTAACTTAGACAATTGCATATAACCACAACCACTACCCACATATACACACACAAGACTTGCATGGCAGAAACACAAAAGCGGAAGTAACTACTTATAACAATGACCTTTTCAATACAAAATCACAATTCTCACATATTCTCCCCAGATTTCCCACCATAGCTTTCCTTTTTAGACTCAGTTTTAACCATCAACCCTTCTAAGACCCGGATGAAACTAGGCGATAGTTTGCAATGAGAACTGCCTTCCTTGGTCTAGGAGGCATTGTGTAACCATTGCTGCCACATACCCAGTGCAGGAGAAAGCCTCAACAACCAGAATGAGGCCTGGTGGAGGCAGCATTGGGATCCTGGCTCAAGACTCATGTTGATGCTGAGAACTGAGTCACAGGTGATGCTGCTGTCCCTCTTATTTTTCCACCACGCAGGATCTGTGTCTCCAGCTGCCCCCCTGGCCACTACCACGCTGACAAGAAGCGATGCAGGAAGTGCGCCCCCAACTGTGAGTCCTGCTTTGGAAGCCATGGTGACCAGTGCATATCCTGTAAATATGGATACTTCCTGAATGAAGACACCAGCAGCTGTGTTACTCACTGTCCTGATGGGTCATATCAGGACACCAGTGAGTTCATTTCAAATATTTGGGGTTTAGAGAAGAAATGTGGGATTTTCATTTGAAAAGGCGGGGTATTCCTCCTTTATGAATCTGGCTTGCCTGATGTCAGACGGGATCTGTTCCATTTACTTTAGGAAAACAGTTTAGAAGGCTTACATACAAATGCCTGTGACTAACTCTGTGCAACACCAGCCCCAGATTCAAATATGTTCTAGAAGTACTCAGGAGACGGGATATAGCTGTGCTCCTGTTCACACAGGTGGGATTTGTCACAGCCAAAGGATACAAAATAAAATCAGCAAAGGGAAAAAGGCACATAGGACAAATCCCAGAAGAAGCCAGACTCAAGCTTCCAAGAGTCTGCTCTCAGTGGAATTCCATGAGGTGTATTTAATTCCCCCACCAACATGGATGGAAAGGCATCAGCCAAAGAACCGTTAGAGACTCAGCACACACAATTGTTACTGAGGCCTGGCTGGGAAGAGATGGCACCTTCTGCCTGGCGTGTATCAAGATTCCAGACTTCTAGAAGTAAAGCAGGTGTTCATCATAAACCATATTGTCTGTAAAACTTTAGACAACAGGAGCCGCTCTTATCAAAATCTTAAATTCCCAGAGGCCAGCCATGGGCCAGCCTTATAAATCAGGTTTGCAAAGAATTACAGCTGAGCATGCTCTTTCCTGCACACTAACCAAATGATCCTGTTGGTATCAAGGAATACATTTTTGAAAACTTAAAAAAAAAAAAAAAAGACTTTCTGACTAGCATAGAATGAATATGTGTCAAAGAAGTATTTAACCCATTCAGGAGGGAGCTGCAAGGTAACAGGTGTTTTCAAAGATCGTGAGATACTGTAGTCCATCAGGAAAGGCAACATGGAATCCTTTAGGCTGAGTTAGAAGCAAATTGCATAAGTTCTTACATGGCAATCCAACTAGAATGTGGGAGGATATTTTTTTTCTAATAGAAATTATATGCAACTTGACCAAGCAAAAAATCTGTGTGTTAACATGAAACATCACAGAGTTCAGGCTGTCATTATGAACAAAGGTCTGTTGCCCTAGGGAATTAAAAAAAAAAAATCTGTGGGAAGACCTATTAGACAGTGCTCCAGTGTGACCCTGAAAAGAGCTACCAGATAGCTTTTTTTATTTCTGAGTTCTGGGTCTCAAGGATCTCATACCATAATATATCATAACTCTAAAATTTCATGTTTCTTTGCAACCTAGGAAAAAAAGAAAACCTCCAAGTTTAAAGGAATAACAGTTATTTTTAAAAATAAATACAAAAATGGATAAGAAGAATTCTGACGTGGGTAGTCTTGCTTCTTCAGAAGTAAAATTCTCTCTGACTCAAAGGCAGGCATTTCTCTATGAGGCAGTGGGGTCTTTCACCCTACCCTTAGGAGCAATGGTTAGGGATTCCCCTGCAGTTTTTATTTGCCCCCAAATTTGGAAGATTAGCTATCAGCTGGTAGAGAAAAAGAAACTGAGAGAGGGGAAGAGTGTAAGGGATCCATAGAAATGAGCAGTATGAGAAGTGGGGAGTCAAAATTCTAACAAGAAGGCAGAGTCTTGGAAAAGAAGTTTGGTTCTAGAATTTTGTATAATAGGATCAAGATAATTGAGAGAGTCGATTCTTTCTCAGAGCCTGGGAGGTGGATAATTAAGGAAGGCTGTTCAAACAATGACCTCAGCTATGACACAGTGTTAATGCAGCGCTCTGCGGGTCTCTCTGCTTCTATAATTGCCTTCAGATCCTGTGCCAGGTCCAGTCTTCCCTGGGACACAGTGAGTGAGACCATATGATAATGATCATAGAGCCGAGCCGTAAAGGGCTTCATATTTCACATTGAGAGGCTCAGACCTGATCCTGTAGGTCCTTGTAGGGTCCATTAATGCAGTGTTTCTCTGTGGAACTCAGAAGATCAGTAACATTTACAGAGCAAATAGAAGAAATCTCATGAACAAAGCTTCATTCAGTTTTATCCGTGTTACGTGTGGATAAAATTTGATTGCATATCAGAGAAAGTACCAAGTCTTCAGAAACATTTTGTCTAACTTAAGATGCCTTTCTTAATATACCAAATCACTATTTTTCATCATAAAACAACCATGACTTTACCACTTTTTTTTCTGATATAGATCTCTGCTTGGTATTAAGTGGTAAAGTAGTATTCATGCATTTCAAACCAATACATTCCCGTTCTTCAGAATAAAAATATTATCTGAGAAGCAGACAGTTAGCCTAGCAGTTAAGACGCCTGTATTCCCTATTGGAGTATCTGGGGTTTGAGCCTCAGCGCCAGCTCCTGATGCCAATTTCCTGTTAAACAATCCTGGGAGGCAGCATGATGGCTCAAGTAGTTGGATCCCTGCCACCCACATGGGAGATGTGGATTGAGTTCCTGGTTCCCAGCTTCAGCCTGAGTCAACCCTGGGAGTTGTGGGCACTTGGGGAGTGAACCAGCAGATAGGAGCTCTACATCTCTGTCTCTTTCTCTCTCTCTGGCTCCCTGCCTCCCACATCAAAATAGATTAGATACTATTTGGGCAGGCTTTGTGGCACAGCGAGTTAAGCTACCACTTGGGATGCCCCCATCCCACGTGGGAGTGTGGGCTTGAATCCCAGCTCCTGCACATCCAATCCAGCTTCCAGATTGGGAAGCAGTGGATGGTTGCCCAATTACTTCAGTCCTTGCCATCTACTTGGGAGACAAGGATAGAGTTCCTGGCACCTGGCATCAGCATAGCCCAGCCTGGCTGTTGGAAGCATTTGAGGAGTGAACCAGCAGATGGAGGGTATCTCTCTTCTCTGTTTTTCCCTCTCTCTGTCATTCTTCCCTTTAAATAAATAAATTATAAAAATAAAATAATGTTTGTATCAATTCCACAACAGCTACAAAGTGCAAGACATTATTTTAGATTATGCAAGAAATAAACAACACTTGGCTCACACTCTTAAACATGGGCTCCTTTCTAGCACAACTTATCAGAGTGGACCAAGCTGTATGATGACCTTCATTGTTAGAAGCCAGGAAACCCTGCTTGGAAGAGAGAATGGAAAGAGGACAAGAAGCCTAGAAACTCAATAAGAATTGAGTGGGCTGTGGGTCGTTGGTCTGCAGTCTGGCAAAGCAGTCTAAGTTGTTTCCCAGTCTTACAGTGTCTGTGTATTTGGTTTGCTGGGAAGTGAAAACAAATGATGATTCTGGGGCTTTTCCTGCAGTTGCCAAGGCCATGGGTACTACAGCATTTTAGGAAAGAGAGCATAGTCACATGCTCTTATATAATCAATTGACTTATAATTTTCTTTTCCTTTTTTTTTTAACAGAGAAAAATCTTTGCCGGAAATGCAGTGAAAACTGCAAGACATGTACTGAACTCCATAACTGTACAGAATGTAGAGACGGGTTAAGGTAAGAGAGAAAGATCTCTTCAAGTCTCAAGAGCTTCTTAATGTAAATAAAATGAAGAATACACACACACACACACACATATTCAAGTGAATAAATATCCTCTTACTATCTACCCTTGGTTTGACTCCCATTCAAGCACTGGATTGCTCTTTGCATTATCTCTACCATTACATATGAAAAATTGGCTCCCATCTTTGCTGAAGAAGAGTTATAACCAAATAAACTGTCTGTATAAAAGATGGCCCAGATACAAGTCAATAAATATGACCATTTGAGAGGCGTTCATCGTGCTTCTTGACGTGCATTGTGCCAGTCAAGGATTACTGTGCAAGTAATGCCAATGAATTACATTTAATCCCCCTGACTCATTCCTTGGATGGTCGGAAATTATTCCCTTATCTTTATTATTTTTCGTCCACATACCCAATCATTCTCTTATCTTAAGTACCTCAGGCTAGGTTCCATTATGCTGTGCTGTATGCATAGATTTAACATCAGGAGATGTTTTCCTTGAATAGATGCTTGCCTATTGCAAAAGCTGGATAGTTGGTAGACTGCACCGCACAACATGCAACTCCAATGAACCAGCAGCCTCTTGATTTCAGTAGAGGTCACGTCATTCTACACTGAGTTAGGAGTTGCACTCTGGCTTAGAATTCTCCCTTTTGAGTATTGATAATGCTTTTATTTCTACCTTTGAGGAAAGGTGAAATAGATAGGGTCTCTGCTGTTTCCATGTTTTTAGTTGTATCAAACTATGATGTGTATCCCTTTATATCACATCTGAGTTCAGACAGTAATTTATGAGAAATACTAGATCTGTATTTAGATTTTTTTTTACTTTAGTTAAGAAAGTAGATTTTTGGCCGGCGCCGCGGCTCACTAGGCTAATTCTCTGCCTGCGGCGCCAGCACCCCGGGTTCTAGTCCCGGTTGGGGCTCCGGATTCTGTCCCGGTGCTCCTCTTACAGGCCAGCTCTCTGCTGTGGCCAGGGAGTGCAGTGGAGGATGGCCCAGGTCCTTGGGCCCTGCACCCACATGGGAGACCAGGAGGAAGCACCTGGCTCCTGGCTTCGGATCAGCGCAGTGTGCCGGCCGCAATGCGCCGCCATACCAGCCACTTGGGGGGTGAACCAACAGAAATAGGAAGACCTTTCTCTCTGTCTCTCTCTCTCTCACTGTCTAACTCTGCCTGTCAAAAATAAATAAATAAGGCCGGCGCCGTGGCTCAATAGGCTAATCCTCCACCTTGCGGCGCCGGCACACCGGGTTCTAGTCCCGGTTGGGGCGCCGGATTCTGTCCCGGTTGCCCCTCTTCCAGGCCAGCTCTCTGCTATGGCCAGGGAGTGCAGTGGAGGATGGCCCAGGTGCTTGGGCCCTGCACCCCATGGGAGACCAGGAAAAGCACCTGGCTCCTGGCTCCTGCCAGGATCAGCGCGGTGCGCCGGCTGCAGCGGCGGGCATTGGAGGGTGAACCAACGGCAAAGGAAGACCTTTCTCTCTCTGTCTCTCTCTCTCACTGTCCACTCTGCCTGTCCAACAAAATAAATCTATAAATAATAAATGAATGGACTCAATAAATACAATTCTTTTTATTAGAGTGTCTTGTTTTCATTTGCAATGCTGGGAGGACCAGAGGGCCTGGCTTACAGTCTGCTGTGATGTCCCGGGATGTCCTCTGGGTTCTCAGTGGGATTATGAATCTACTTTCGGGGGACACGCCCCAAATCTTTTATGAGATATAGTATGTATCTTATTCACTTTATAATGCAATGCTCTGAGAGCGACCCGGGCAAAGAGAGAATTGCCCCAAGGCTTCAAAGACGGCCCGGGATCCGCCGTTGAATGAAGTGTTGGAAAGG